AGGTTGATTTCTCGTTGAACCACTTGAAGGCATCTTCATTCACTATTTTCGTCTCATTCATTGCATTCCTCCACTCTGGCACAGTTGTGGCCCTAGCTACAACCCAGAATAGAGCCTTCAGAGTGAGCCCCTTATGCGCCAAAGTGAAGTTGCTATACAAGTGTCTTGCACAGCACCTATACTCAGTACCTTCACAGAAGAGGTTAATTGAGTGTACCAAGCCCTTCTGTTTATTAGAAATGAAGGTCCAAGCCCTGCAATTGCACATCCCAATGTCAACTAGCAAAAGTTCTATGAACCACTCCCAATTTCTTTTGTTTTCTGCATCCACTACAGCCCATGCAACAGGAAACATGCAGTTCTCTCCATCGATACCAACTGCAGCTAACAATTGGCCACCTTGCTCGCTCTTTAAGAAACACCCAATCCTGAAACCTTCTTTGCAAGCTCCCAAGCTTATGTAACATCTTTTGAATGTACCCCATGGGCCTTCAATCTAAATTGTAGTACCAAGATTTATTTTTTTGAGCTCCTTCCCATAGTCCCACGGTATCTTGTACTGCTTTGCTACAAGACCATGAATGACTTCTAAACATTTTGCTTGTCCTATAAAATTGATATGTCGATATCTCATACATGCATTCTTCCTTCACTGTCTCAATGAAACTGTTTATGGACAATTTCGGATCTGATCTGAACTTACATGTGTATTTTTTCGCCAAGTACCCAGCATGAACTCTCTTATTTTGCCAAACCATTGTACATGTTCACCCTTAAATGTGTTAATCTTGAAACTCTTATTCGGCTATTGGTAGGCATATAACTCCCATGGACAGTTATTCTCACACCTAACTCTGAGTCTGCTTCCTTCGTTCTTCACATATCGGAGTTTCTTTGAATTTTTCACGAAATAGTGTACCACTACATCCCTTAGTATCTTTATGTTGTCAAACTTCATGCCTGTGTAGAGTTGATCTTGCATGTCATTGGATCTTGCCAGAAAACATAAGACACAGTGAGGTAGAAACATCATTATCTATCTGCAACTTTGGATTTTGCATGCTAGTGTCAAGGTTAAACCAATGTCATCCCTAGCTCTTAAGGAGGAACCACCTTCTTCAAATTCACTTGTAATGCTTCTTAGATCATGTGAGTCATCGTAGTCTGTTTCATTACCATCTTCACCACCAGCATTACCCTGATTTTCAACCATCAGATTTTCATCACCAATGTCAAGTGGTTCAGTCAACTTGAAGAATACATCTTCATCACTATAATCTGCAGCTACATCTTCCTCTTGCTCGTATTCTGGATCACTGAACTCCTCCAGTGGTCCCTCTTCCATGTCATAATCTCCATCAATAGGTGGTACATCACTCCGATCTGATTGTTGAACAGGAGGCTTCAGGTTTAGTTGTGGAGTAGGAGGCTCCACATTTGGTTGTGCAATAGGAGGCATCACATGCTCTTCAACAAGGGGTGGTGTAGGTAGATCCTCAACAAGACTCTCCACGTTTTCAACAAGGGGTGGTTCAACAAGATCTTCAATTGGAATCCAGATGTCTTCATCAACCAAAGGTGGATCTTCATCGGGACTAGTGATTTAAATCAACCCAATCCATTTTCTTTAATTTAATTTTTTTTTGTCTATAGTATCCCTACATTAAATAATGATGGTTCATATTTGTTGATAATAAGGCACATTAAATAGGGTATATTTGAAACTTAAGATATTGATTATACTCTCAAGAAGGAAAGTGGCATGTAATTTGGGACAAATAAAAAGGGAAACAAAGCTCATCTTTGTGTGACGGAGGTATTAAATTTTTTTGTGCATTTAGTGTGATTTTTTTAATTATGGTATTCAATTTAATTTTCGTTAAATTTATTAATAAATGAAATATTTAGTACATTAAATATAATTTTTAATTTAATAACTTTAATAATAATATAATTCATAATTAAAATTTATGAAATAAATTAAGCTCTTGTTTGGCCCCCGTTAAATTATATTCCATTTTTATCTCTCCTATTTTTAACTACACAATCTTCCATAAAATAATATTACATGTAAATCGAAAATTTTTCCTTCTTATTTCAACCATTCATTTTTTTTTTTAAAAATATAAAAACACTACTTTCTTTTTTTTTTTTTCCTTTTTTTTTTTTTTTATTAATAAGCTACCTTTTAAGGCAATCTAGCTGCCTACCTATTAAAAGTGGGCCTTTTTTTTAAGGCTCGCAGGGCCGACGAGCCGAATAGCCGTCCCTAGTTATACCAAAATTACATCAAATGAATAGCATTTCCTTTATTTCCATATTATTTATTAGTCAACAACTAATTTACTTCAAAACTTATATAATTACAAAATATATTATTACCAAAAAATTTAATTTAAAATTGTATTTAATGAACTAAAATATTGCATTTGTTAATAAAAAAAAAAAGCATTGCTTAATACATATATATATATATATATATATATTACATTTAAAGCACAATAAAATTTTCATTTAATAAAAATCACAATTAGTGTTGTATTTTACTTATTTCTTAGATACTTTTGTTGTTCTAGTGCTAAATTTTTCAAAATTTCTAATAATCAACTTTGTATCTTTTGAGTTTTAACAAGTAATTTTGTTTTAATGTATTCAATATTTATTATTTATTACTTAAATATATATATATATATATATATATTACATTTAAAGCACAATAAAATTTTCATTTAATAAAAATCACAATTAGTGTTGTATTTTACTTATTTCTTAGATACTTTTGTTGTTCTAGTGCTAAATTTTTCAAAATTTCTAATAATCAACTTTGTATCTTTTGAGTTTTAACAAGTAATTTTGTTTTAATGTATTCAATATTTATTATTTATTACTTGATGAAAATAAATTTTAACTAAAGTTAAATCATTGCATAATAAAAGGATATAATAGGAATTAAAATTTGTTGTAATATTAGGTGAAGGGAATAATGAAAAACTTCAAATTGGAGCAACACCGTTCATTACATAAAATTGGTGTGCTGTTTTAGTCTACCATTGTGGAGTACCAATTTGGTGCACCATTGGAGGTGCCTTTCCAATAATACTCAATTCAATTTACATGTTGTGTCTATAATAATTTTCATTGAAATGTTTTTTTGGTTAATCCACTGTTTAAATGGTATGTGTTACAGGAATATGAACTTCAGGGAATATTTTTTAAAAAAAAATAATAATAATGTTTGACTTAGATCCTTCTATCAGTGATTTCGCCTTTTTTTTTGGGTTTTATTCATCATTTCTGAGACAACAGCTGGTCTTATTAATGATTGTTATTATGTATCATGAAAATTCTTTAAAAGACAAGAATCAAATACTTTTCTGTGATGATGAAGAATATCTATCATTTCCCTCTCGAATAATTTTTTTTCCACGAAGTCTGTAATTGTCTGGTTTTGAAGGAGGGAGAGGGGGGAGGAGGGGGGTATCCTTTAAATCTAGTACCAAGGGGTATTATACCCCCAAAACAACATTTTCTTTCAGGCCTTTCAATCAAACCAACTCCAGAGAGATGCCTTTACTAAAACTCTTGCATCTCAGGACTAGATCTATTGTGGCCTTAATTAATCATTACTTGTAACGATGGAAATTTATTTGATATTTAAACACAATAAATTGGTATAGGTTAGGAGTATGGAGTCACGGTAATATGATCTCTAGACGATTTTGAAATTTGCTTGCATATTTTTATTTGTGCCTTTACCTTCAGTTCATGTATTTTATTGGTGTTCTGTCCAAATACTTAGCTAATGTAATATGATCAATTTTTTTCTCTGCAAATGAACTTATTGCGAATGCTGCATACATTGCTACCCCTGGAAAGGGTATCCTTGTTGCTGATGAGTCTACTGGGATGATTGGCAAGCGTCTAGCTAGTATCGATGTTGAGAATGCAGAAAACCAACAAATAAGCTTGATACAACAACGAAGAGAAGAAATTTCTCACCTCTCAAGTCCAACTCACAAGTCAAAACAATATGTCAGTTGCCTCCTATTTTCATCAGCTGCTTATAATCTCTTCCTAAATTGATCAGAAACAATCTGATGCAGATTATATACCTTGATCTGATTTTCTAATCCTAATTTGTTGAGTTTCAGTCCATAATTTTCCCACATGTTATGATCATCCCCTATAAAGTACCTAAAGCAACTATCATTCATTGCATTTTGATAGATATATAAGTACAAAGAGAAAGAAAAACTTAACTTGCTATTATTTTTAAAACCATACACGGCTGGCATCTTATATAAATTATAAAGGGATTCTAGCATACTTTAGTCAACAAGTTTCCACCTACTACAACCTTACCTGTGACAACATTCCTTACCTAATACATGACCATACTATGCTAGACTTTTCAATCACACAAACACCATAACTTAAACTTGAATTAGGTACAACAAAAATACAAGACATTTGACAAAAAAAGTGTCAATCCAATATCAATACTCCTCCTTGACACTTTTGCTGGAAACACCAAGGCATTTCCTTAATGTTTCAAACCTTCCTTTAGACAAATATTTTGTTATAATAGCAGCATATCAATCCTCAGAATTGCAATGCACAAGCTTCACTTCCTATCTTCTTGAGCTTCCCTGATTGAATGGTAGTTGATCTTGATGTGTTTTGTTCTTCCATGAAACATCAATCTTTACCATTGCCACAGCAAAGTGGTTATCACAATAGATAACAGTTGCATCAGCTTGGTTGTGCTTAAGATCCTCCAAACTTTTCTCAACCAAATTTCTTGATTAGTGGCTTCTGATGGAGCAATATACTCTACCTATGTTTGATTGAGCCATCATTTTCTGCTTCATTGAGTTCCAATACACAACACTTGAGCCAAAATAAAACACATAACCAGAGGTGCTTTTCATGTCTTCAAGAGATCCAGCCTAATCACTATCAATAAAACCAGTTAAAACTAGAGTTTCTGACTTCCTAAACTAGATTCCCAGCTCCTCATTCACTCTTATGTATCTAAGAATTCTTTTTGCAGCTTGAAAGTGTAATTTACTTGGCTCTTGTCTGAATCTGGACAGAATATTTGCAGCAAATGTAATATCTAGTCTTGTGATTGTTAGATACAACAAGCATCCCACCAAACTTCTATAGATCTTTTCATCAGATTTATTACCACCATCTTCCTTTATCAGTTTTGAGTTTTGTACCAAGGAAATACTTACTGGTTTGCAATTCTCCATATTGATTTTTTTCAAGACTTCCTTAGCATACCTCCTTTGGTATACCAAAATTCCTTCTTGTGATTGATTTATCTCTTTTCCTAGAAAATATTGCATTTTCCCAAAATCAGTTATGTCAAATGCCTTTTTCAATTCTTCTTTCACACTTCCAATTAATGCCTGATTGCTGTCAATTATAAAAAGGTCATCAACATACAAGGAGATGATGATCATTTATTCCTCCACTTGCTTTATATAAAGTGTTTGTTCATTAACACTTTTGATGAAACCAAGGCTGCCCAAGTGATCATCAATCATGTTGTAACAAGCTCTTGGAGCCTGCTTCAAACCATACAAAGCCTTCTTCAACAAATAGACTTTGTCTTCTTCTCCAGCCACAAAGAAACCTTCTGGTTGTTCAATGAAATTTTTTTCATTTAAGTGTCTATTTAGGAAGGCCGATTTAACATCCAATTGATGTAATTTCCAACCTCATTGAGCAGTTATAGCAAACAATAATATGATTGTTTCATACCGGCCACTGGAGCAAATGTATCTGTGAAATCAATACCATATTGCTGAGCATAACCTTTTACAACCTACTGGCTTTGAGTTTTTTGATTGAACCATCAAAATTCAGTTTGGTTTTGTACACGCATATAACTCCAATCACATTCTTATCCTTTGGTCTATCAACCAACACCCAGGTTTCATTCTTTTCAATCATACTTAGCTCCTTCTTCATTGTAGCCAACCAACCTTGTGAATTTACTGCTCCATTGAAGTTTGAAGGCTCCAATACAGCTGAATTGCATCTGGAATACGCATCAGCAAGTGACCTTGACTTCAACACAACATTTTCAGAGTCAAAATCACTATCAGATTTTGGTTTATCCTCATTGATAAATGTACCATTTTCTTGTGGAACCAACATTTGAATTTGCAACTTATTCAAGGTACTTGATTCCCAATTCCATGAAGACTCCTCATCAACTTTAATATCCCTGCTACACATCATCTTTTTGGTTTGTGTATCATAGACTTTATATTCCTTAGCATTGCCACAATATCCAGCCAAAACATCAATTTCTACCTTTTGACTTAGCTTCTCTCCTTTTGCCTTAGGAATGTGAGTGTAACATATGCTGCCAAATACTTTCAAGTGAAAAATCTGGCTTAACTCCATACCAGGCTTCAAAATGAGTTATTTTATCCAAGGCTTTTGTAAGTAACTTGTTGAGAAGGTATATTGCTGTATTCACAGCTTCAGCCCAAAAAACTTTTGGAACATTCTTCTCAATCATCAAACACCTAACCATTTCTATAACTATCATGTTCTTCCTCTCACACACTCCATTTTGCTAGGGAGAATAGGGAATTGTCAACTGATGATTTGATCCCAACAGCATCACAAAATTTTTTCAAGCTGATCACATCTATATTCAGTCCCATCGTCAGTTCTGATGGCCTTGATTTTCCAGTCACTTTCATTTTCGAAGACTTTTAAACTTTTGAAATATAGCTTCTACTTCAGATTTCATTTTTAGAAAGTAAACCGAACATATCCTTGTCAAGTCATCAATAAAGAAAACAAAATATTTGTTGCCATTTAGAGTAGGTTTTCTCATTGGACCACACACATCTGAATGGATTAATTCCAATTTATTTGAAGCTCTTCTTGACTGGTTTTTAGGAAATGGCAGTCTTGTTTGCTTTCCTCATTGACAAACATCACACACATAGGCATCATCACATATGTCTAGCAGATTTTTCAACTAGTTCTAGTTTATGCAAATGCTTGAGTGAAGTGAAATTTGCATGACCAAATCATTTGTGCCAAAGTGTACACTCTACAACAGTACTAGAGAATGCATGAGTGGTCATATTTTTCCACTCTAAAGGAAAGCTTCTTTGTTTCATCTCAATTGTCATCAACTCATTGTCATTTGCATCCAATATAGTGCAGCCACTATAGTTGAATATCAGGGTATAATTTTTCTCAATCAATTGGCCTATACTAACTAAATTTTGGTCTATATCAGGCATAAAAAGTGCATCAGAAATGTGTTTAGCAGCTGTTGGAGTTTGCACAGCAATCACACCAATTCCTTCCACTTTCACATATTCTCCATTGCCAATATATGTTGTTTAGTTCAACAAAGATGCTTGAATTTGAAATCATATGGTGTGTGCATCCACTATCTAGCAACCAAGTTCCAACACTAATTTGTAGCTGTGAATAAATACTCCTCATGCTGCTATTGTTGCTGATTTTCAGCAACCTGAGCTTGTTGCTGTAATTGTTTCTCTTTCAAGTTTTTACAAACTTTTTGAACATGCCCAAATTACTTATAGGCCCTGCATTGAACTCCTACTCTACACCAGCACCACTTTGGAGAATGACCAGATTTTTTGCAGTGAGGGCAAGCAGGATAGCTATTTCTTTTGCCAGCACTTTTATTGTTTTCAAACTTCTTCTTCTTAGGTTGTTGCTTCTTTACACCAAAGCTTGTTTGAGCTTTATGTTTTCCTTTGACAGATAAAGCTCCTTCAACTTGTTATTCCTGCCTAATCAGGCTCTTCTATTCAGTAGCTTGGACTACATTAACAAGTTCAGACAAGATTATGATTTTAAGGTCTCTTGAGTCTTCAAGAGAGGAGATTTTTACCTCAAATTTTTCAGGCAAACTGATAAAACCCGTTTCCACAACTCTCTTATCAAATAGATCATCCCCCAACAACCTTATTTGATTGACCACTTTCATCAGCCTATTAGAAAAATCTTAACCGTTTCTGATTCTTTTATCTTCAAGGTTTCATACTCCCTTCTAAGATTTAGAACTTGCATCTGCCTTCTTCTTTCATTGCCTCGAAACTCCTATTTTAATCTGTCCAGACTTTCTTAGCAGTCTCACAAGTAATAATCCTGGTGAAGATTGCATTTGAAACGGCAAAGTGAATGCAAGAGAGGACCTTGGACTTCTTTGCTACTTCTTCAATATGTTGCTTCAGCTGAGCAATAGTGGGATTTGCTCTGAGAGATCATGGTTCAGTTCCAATTTCTGTGATTTCCCACAGGTCATAAGCCTTCATTTTTGTAGCCCAAAAATCATAATTTTATCCTGTAAACATAGAAGGTAATGGTGCTGAAAAACCACTTGAAGCCATCACAGTCACTCACAAATTACTCGACTATTTTGGAGAAAGGTTCCTTACTTGTTTTCTCTCTTAATCTTGTCTCACAACCCTTGTAGGTACCTCTAAAATCAGGTAGCTCTGATACCACTGATAGATAAATAAGTACAAAGAGGAAGAAAAACTTAACTTGCCATTATTTTTAAAACCATACACGGCTAGCATCTTATATAAATTACAAAAGGATTCTAGCATACTTTAATCAATAAGTTTCCACCTACTACAACTTTACCCGTTGACAGGAATCCCTTACCTTATACATGACCATACTATGCTAGACTTTTTAATCACATAAAGACCATAAGTTAGACTTGAATTAGGTACAACAAAAATACTAGACATTTGACAACAAAAGTGTCAATCCAATATCAATACATTTCCTATGTTGCTATTAGAAGGTGAAGTCTCAAGCCCTAATCCACTGGTATTATCTCAAAAGGCTTCTCCATGATTAATGCTTATAGACTCATTATTCTAACAGTAATACAAATAGGGTTTTGGATTCTCGTTTATTTTCTTGTTGCACTTGATTACATAATTATTTACACTATCCCACTTTTCTTTGCAGATAAAGCACTCCTGTCATATCCAAAACAAGCCATTTTTGTTGCTATTTCTTCCCACGAGACTTCTTCTGAAATCCCACCTTGTTGAAACCTTGAGTCAAAATTAGTTCTCAATAGGATTAGCATTGTAATCTCACATTCTGGCTAGATATCTCCCTTTTCATGGTTATTCTGGTTTTTGCTTGGCTTCGAGTTTCTGCTACCATCAGTTTGTCAGACGGTGAAGCCTTAAGTTCTTTACCAGTAACGTTTTATATAGCTTCCATTAGTGCAACATATAGTGCTTCGCTCCGTCTTCTTTCATTAGTCCAAAACTTGTGCTCTTTTTCTATTCTATCTGCATCTTGTTTCCTCCATTCTTCCTCTCTTATAATCCTCTCTTGTTCTTTGTCCTCAATTGTCCTCATCATTTTTTCCATCCAAGCATCCTATTTATCTATCAGTTTCCTCATTTGTGCATGAATGAAGTCTTTTTCTTTTCTTTCAACCTCCTCTTATCCTTTTTCTTCTGCCTATTGCAACTCGAGTCATTGTTTGTTCCTCCATTAACATCTCCTCTGTTTGATGAAGTAGTATCAAAATCTGAAGAATTAGATAGACTAAGGCTAGTATCTGAGAACTTTGGAAATTATGAAGCTCTTGAATCGAGAGATAGAGGGTCAGACTACCTTGGGAAGGGTGTCTCAAAGGTACGAGTTTGTAATGGCTAACTAATTACTTTTTAACAAGCAAATACTTTTATTTACTGATGTTTGCTTATTGTTGGTATGTATATAGGCCGTTAACAATGTTAACACTATCATTGGCCCTGTGCTCATTGGCAAGGTTCTTTTTTCTCAGCTGTAGCATGGTTCCTATTGCCGTAAATTTGGTCGTTTTCGACATTTTAGGCCTCTGTTATATAACAAAAGAGAAATTGTTTTCTTTAAAAATAATTATTCTTTACATCAACTTTTCCCAACTGAAAAATGAAGTATGGCTACTGTAGCAGGTCCGAACAGATCACACTGGTATAGATAACTTCATATTTCAACAACTTGATAGAACTTAGAATGAATGGATGTGGTGCAAAGAGAAGGTACTTTATTATTTCAATCGTTAACTTCTGCATATCTTTGTTATATTTGTATGAGTAAATATTTTGTCCTTTTCAACTTGGTGTAAATGCCATCCTGACTGTGTCTCTTGCTGTGTGCAAAGCTGGAGCTGTTGTTCTCAATATTTCCTATACAAGGTATGTTGCAGATCATTCTATTGTAGCCAACCTTTCCCCTAATAAGAGAATTTGTTGGTCTAGTGTGTTTATCCCTATCAATGGCTCTCATAATTGGCAAAACACAGCTCTACACGGTGTCCACTACCTTGTACCTGATTTTCGCCTGAATTGATCAAAACAACGTAATAGAATCTGTGCTAGATTTTCTTAGATTTTCTATAGTCATCCATATTGTTTTTCATACATTCCATGTTGGTGGATCTATCATATGTAATTAATATGAATATTTCTTGGTACAGCACATTGCTAACCTAGCTAGTAACAAAAAGCCGGTGTTGCTTGTTTCTGCCTTCAACGTCACCGGAACAAACTTATTATGCAAGTATGTGTTTCGATATTTACATAGGTTAGCTCATATATCTTAGAATTTAAGTTTCTCATCAATTTGTATTGCAGGAATTTATGATTCTACTAGTTGGAGCTTCCTCTTTTAAAGAAGCCATAAAGATGGGTGTGTAAGTGTATCACAATTTGAAGGTGCATGATAATGTTTTAGTTCTCCTTCATTTACCTGTTTATTTATCAATTTCTAATCAATGGTCATATCTATTCTGAATTTAATGTAATAGAAAACTCTAGCCTGCATATAGCTATGATCAAAATGCATAATTTAGGGAATACGCTATATTTAAAGAATTATGCAATTGCTTTATTGCGATTTTATACCTCAATTTCAATGAAGCTATATGAGTTTCTACTGTTTGGGTTATCTAGTATGTGGTTAGTGCAAAAAGAGGTTTTGTCTAGGGAGCACATTATAATTTGAGGATCTCTAAAAATTCTAAAATACTTATGTTGGTTTGCATTTTTATACCTTTGAACAAACATAGAATTTCAATGTTCCTAGATTATTAGGTCCGAAGCCAGTGTTGAATTGAGTTTTACATCAATCGTATTTCTATATCCATACGAAATGCAAAGTGAATCTTGCTCGGCCTATTGCTGATCTTGGAATTGATGTTCCCAATTAATACTTTTCTATTATGTCTATAAGCTTAGGGGTCAAAGAGTTCCTTTTATATCTTTGATGACTAACTATTAGGAATTGGTTTTCTTTGATTTCAGAGGTGTCCCAATTTGCTATTTTATATGTCTATATGCTTAGGGTCAAAAAGTTTCTATCGTATCTGTGATATCTGACTTTTAGGAACTAGTTTTCTTTGATTTCTTGCTATCCCGAATTACAGTTTTTATACGTTTAAACGTTTATTGTCGATGAGTTTCTGTTGCATATATGAGGTCTTGATTTTTAGGAGATGGTTTTCTTTGATTTCAGGCTGTCATTAAGAAGAAATATGGTCACGATGACACCAATGTATGGGATGAGGGTAGATTTGCTCCTAACATTCAGGTCAATCGGTGTGTTATGTTTGAATAAACCTTTTACTTGAGGTTCATATATAATATTTGAAGTAATCTTTTATGTACTGGGGGAGAACAATGATGGTCTTGAACTGCTCAAGACAGCCATTGATAAAGCAGGTTACACAGGAAAATTGAGTTTTCTAAACTTTCTTGACTTTATTGTTTAATCACCTAGTGAATGGGGTTAGAGCTTAAGTTTCATTATCTATAGGTTGTCATTGTAATGGATGTTGCTACATCTGAGTTTTATGGATCGGACAAGACTTATGATTTGAACTTCAAAGAAGAGGTAAGTTCTTAAATTGCTTAGCTCCATTTGACTGCATTCTTGAATAATATACTTCATGCGAGGATGTTAAGAATGCACGTAGGGATTATCTCCCTGTGTGCATAATAGTTTGTTCCTAACTACTACGATTTTATTTGACATTTCAGTTTTATTGCTTTGTCTTTACAAAAAAATAATGGCTCACAAAGATCTCAAGCAACCAGCTCAAAGATCTGTACAAGTCATCCATGTCCGGGTACCCAATTGTATCCATTGAAGATCTATTTGACCAAGATGATTGGGAGCATTATGCCAAGCTTACCGGTGAAATTGGTGCTCAAGCACAGATTGTGGGAGATGATCTCTTAGTCACTAATCGTAAGTTGATGTGTCCATTACCTTAAAAATTATCAGAAAAAATTTCTGTGGCCAATAAAATTTAGCATATCTTATTGACTTTTGTGTGCGTAGAGTTGAAAAGGCAATCAAGGAGAAGACCTACAATGCTCTTTTTCCTAAGGTATCATGAAATATCTATATGATCTTAAGTGCTTAAATGGTCTCTCTCGACTTTTTTGAAAAGGTAACCATGGCATGTTTAACAATTTCATTTAACTAATAGGTTAACAAAATTGGATCAGTTATTGAGAGAATTGAAGCTGTAATAATGTCTAAACGAGCTGGTTGGGGTATAATGGCAAGCCACTGCAGGTATGAAAATTAGACCTTGTTATATGGTGGGTATCTACAGTGAAAAAGAATATTAGATTTGACAATCATTTTTGTTGCTGGATGCAATGGAGAGACTGTTAGGTTTGGTGACTCAAATGTGTTAGGATTATTGTTGATTTAGAATTTGATCAAGTGGAAATCCTAGAAATTGGTTAGGAGTCTTTTGAAGATGCGTGTTAGACTTTCACTTGGAAAGGGAATCTAATTGCATCCAACAAAAGAAAAAAAAAACCCTATTGAAATTAGGTCTCCTAATTGTAATATATTTTCTTGCATTTTAGGACTCTTCTAGGGTTGGCCTATAAATATAAGCTCCTCTGGTCAGTTTGTAGAGAGTAACATAGAAGCAGTATTGTCAGTCTATCTTTTATTCTCAACATTGTTGAATTAATAAACATCATTCCTCTGCAATTACCCTTTGTGTTCTTTTTTTACAAATTAAATCTTGTGTTTTCATCATGTAATCTTGTTACTACAATACTGTCATTATAATCTCATTTTTACAATCGAATTTGGAATCAACGAGTGTTATTGGAGCTTTCGAGCCCAACAAATGGTATCAGAGCCAGGCTGTTAATTTTATGTGGATTGGTTGAGACTCTTTTGAGATGGCTGTGTTAAAGTATGATATTCCACAATTAGATCGTAGTACAAGGTTTTGTTTCAAACTCAAACCCTAACTTACCTAATTCATTTATACAAAGTTGCACCATACTCCTTGACTTTTACAATTGTTTATTTTAGTCCTTTTGTCTTACAAAATTGCCAATACACAAAAACCTAACACGGTACTAGGTTGAACCACATTATCTAAATTTTAAGGTCGAGATCATGGTCCTTGGGAAGAATTTCTTTTCTTCTCGTAACTCATTTTTCTTAGTTTCTTTGTCTTTTTTCAGCAAGTTGGAAGACTATTATTATATAGCTAATGTCCATACAAAGTATAAATAAAGAGGAATCCAATGAGAAAGACTTTGATTTGAACCAATTCACCAAAACGTATAATTTGGTGCTCCACTAGAATAATTTATGAAGAATCTTGAGATAAAACAAGACCTACATGGTGAACTCAACATTTAAAAAAAAAAAAAAATCTTAGAACAATTTCATAATTTTTTTTTTATACATTATCGCAGATTGGATGATCTTTTTGAAAATTAATCCATTCCTATTGAATTAGGCATAAAAGAAAACAGACAAGTTTTTGATAAATAGTTAATTCACGGATAACAACTTTAACTGGGCTGGCTAGGCAACAATTTTTTTCCTAAAATTGCCACATTGCCTCAAATAGGACAATGCTTGAGTTAGACAGAGCAAATTTTCATCCTTACTTGAAAGTGACTTTTGTTGCATAAAGCGAATCATGTGGAATATTACATGGGAATACAAAGCTCACTTGATAAAATGCACCTGAAATAATTTGTAGGCAGATAACTCAATAGACCGGATTATTATTAATACTGGTTAATTTATGGCCACATGTACCTTATTTTGTATAGTAATAGCCAAGGTTGTAAGTCAATGTAAAATCCCCCAACATATCAGAGTAAGAGTGTTAAGCTCATTCAAGAAATTCGGATAGGTCTCAATAAAATTTAAAAAAAAATCTTTGCCTATTCCGGTCCTAGGATGAACCATAATATCTACATTTTAATGTAGATATCATGGTCCTTGGAAGAATTTCTATCTTCTCGTAGCTCATTTTTCTTAGTTTCTTTGTCTTTTTCTAGCAAGTTGGAAGACTATTGTTATACAACTAATGTCCATACAAACTATAAGATAGAGGTGAATTCAATGAGAAAGACTTTGAATTGAGCAAATTGACTAAAATGTATAATTTGGTGCTCCACTACAATAATTTGCAAAGAATCTTGAGATAAAACAAGACCTACAAGGGGAAGTCAACATTTAAAAAAAAAAATCCTAGAACAAGGCATATTTTATTTTATTTTTTATCACAAATTGGACTATCTTTTTGAAAATTAATCCAGTCCTACCAAATCAGGTGTAAAAGAAAATGGACAAGTTTGTAATAAATAGTTAATTTGTGCATAACAAATTTAATTTCAATAGCCTAAATAAAATATGAAATATAACTCCTTTGAACAAATGGTGATGCTGGTTGGACAACAATTTTTTTTTCCTAAAATCGCCATATTTCCCCGAACAGGACGACGCTCAGGTTAGACAGAGCAAATTGTCATCCTTATTTGAAAGTGACTTTTATTGCTTAAAGCGACTCACGTGGAATGTTACATGAGAATACAAAGCTTAGTTGATAAAAATGCACCTAAAATAATTTGTAGGCATATAACTCAATAGACTTGATTATTGTTAATACGATTCGTGGCCACATGTAGTTCATTCAGTTTAGTAATAGACAAGGTTGTAAGTCAATGTGAAATCCCCCAACATATCAGAGTAAGAGTGTTAAGCTCATTCAAAATTCGGATGGGTCTCAATTAAATTTAAAAAAAAATATTTGCTTGTTCCTGTCCTAGGTTGAACCACATTATCTACATTTTAAGGTGGACATCATGGTCCTTGGGAAGAATTTCTATCTTGTCGTAGCTCATTTTCCTTAGTTTCTTTGTCTTTTTCTAGCAAGTTGGAAGACTATTGTTATCCAACTAATGTCCATACAAACTATAAGATAGAGGTGAATTCGATGAGAAAGACTTTGAATTGAGCAAATTGACTAAAACGTATAATTTGGTGGTCCACTACAATAATTTACAAAGAATCTTGAGATAAAACAAGACCTACTTGGTGAAGTCAACATTTAAAAAAAAATCTTAGAACATGGAATTTTTTTTTTATTGCAAATTGGACGATCTTTCTGAAAATTAATCCAGTCCTACTGAATCAGGCGTAAAAGAAAATGGACAAGTTTGTAATAAATAGTTAATTCATGGATAACAAATTTAATTTCAAGAACCTAAATATTATATGAAATATAGCTCCTTTGAACAAATGGTGGTGCTGGTTGGGCAACAATTTTTTTCCTAAATTCGCCATATCTCCCCGAATAGGGTGATGCTCGGGTTAGACAGAGCAAATTGTCATCCTTATTTGAAAGTGACTTTTATTGTTGAAAGCAAATCATGTGGAATTTTACATGGGAATACAAAGCTCACTTGATAAAACGCACCTAAACTAATCTGTAGGCATATAACTCAATAGTTGATTATTGTTAATACTGGTTCATGGCCACATGTAGTTCATTCAATTTAGTAATTGACAAGGTCGTAAGTCAATGTGAAATCCCCCAACTTATCAGAGTAAGAGTGTTAATCTCATTCAAAAAATTCGGATGGGTCTCAATTAAATTTAAAAAAAAAAATCTTTTCTTGTTCCGGTCCTTGGTTGAACCACATTATCTACATTTTAAGGTAGACATCGTGGTCCTTGGGAAGAATTTCTATCTTCTCTTAGCTCATTTTTCTTAGTTTCTTTGTCTTTTCCTAGCAAGTTGCAAGACTATTGTTATGCAACTAATGTCCATACAAACTATAAGATAGCGGTGACTTCAATGAGAAAGACTTTGAATTGAGCAAATTGACTAAAACGTATAATTTGGTGCTCCACTACAATAATTTACAAAGAATCTTGAGATAAAACAAGACCTACATGGTGAAGTCAACATTTAAAAAAATCTTAGAACAAGGCATAATTTTTTTTTATCGCAAATTGGACGATCTTTTTGAAAATTAATAGAGTCTGACCGAATCAGGCGTAAAAGAAAATGACAAGTTTGTAATAAATAGTTAATTCGTGGGTAACAAATTTAATTTCAATAGCCTAAATAAAATATGATATATAGCTCCTTTGAAGAAATGATGGTGTTGGTTGGGCAACAATTGTTTTCCTAAAATCGCCATATCTCCCCAAACAGGGCGACGCTCCAGTTAGACAGAGCAAATTGTCATCCTTATTTGAAAGTGACTTTTATTGCGTAAAGCGAATCATGTGGAATGTTACATGGGAATACAAAGCTCACTTGATAAAATGAACCTAAAATAATTTGTAGGCATATAACTCAATCGACCTGATTATTGTTAACACTCGTTCATGGCCACATGTAGTTCATTCAGTTTAGTAATAGACAAAGTCGTAAGTCAATGGGAAATCCCCCAACATATCAGAGTAAGAGTGTTAAGTTCATTCAGAAAATTCGGATGGGTCTCAATTAAATCAAAACTAAAAAAATCTTTGTTTGTTCCGATCCTTGGTTGAACCACATTATCTACATTTTAAGGTAGACATCGTGGTCCTTGGGAAGAATTTCTATCTTCTCGTAGCTCATTTTTCTTGATTTCTTTGTCTTTTCTAGCAAGTTGGAAGACTATTGTTATGCAACTAATGTCCATACAAACTATAAGATAGAGGTGAATTCAATGAGAAAGACTTTGAATTGAGCATTTTGACTAAAACGTATACTCCACTACAATAATTTACAAAGAATCTTGAGATGAAACAAGACCTATATGATGAAGTCAACATTTAAAAAAAAAAAATCTTATAACAAGGCATTTTTTTTTCACAAATTGGACGATCTTTCTAAAAATTAATCCAGTCCTACCAAATAAGGCTTAAAAGAAAATGGACAATTTTGTAATAAATAGTTAATTCGTGGATAACAAATTTAATTTCAATAGCCTGAATAAAATATGAAATTTAGCTCCTTTGAACAAATGGTGGTGCTGGTTGGGCAACAATGGTTTTCCTAAAATCGCCATATCTCCCCGAACAGGGCGACGCTCGATTTAGACGAAGCAAATTGTCATCCTCATTTGAAAGTGACTTTTATTGCTTAAAGCGAATTTTGTGGAATGTTACATGGGAATACAAAGTTAAGTTGATAAAATGCACCTAAAATATTTCGTAGGCATATAACTCAATAGACCTGATTATTGTTAATACTGGTTCATGGCCACATGTTGTTCATTCAGTTAAGTAATAGACAAGGTTGTAAGTCAATGTGAAGTCCCCCAACATATCAGAGTAAGAGTGTTAAGCTTATTCAAAAAATTCGGATAGGTCTCAATTAAATTTTAAAAAAAATCATTGACTTTTCTGATCCTAGGATGAACCATATTATCAACATTTTAAGGTAGACATCATGGTCCTTGGGAAGAATTTCTATCTTCTCGTAGCTCATTTTTCTTAGTTTCTTTGTCTTTCTAGCAAGTTGGTGGACTATTTTTATACAACTAATGTCCATACAAACTATAAGATAGAGGTGAATTCAATGAGAAAGACTTTGAATTAAGCATTTTGACTAAAACGTATAATTTGGTGCTCCACTACAATAATTTACAAAGAATCTTGAGATAAAACAAGTCCTACATGGTGAAGTCAACATTTAAAAAAAAATCTTAGAACAAGGCATAATGTTTCTTCTTATCGCAAATTGGACGATCTTTCTGAAAATTAATCCAGTCCTACCGAATCAAGCGTAAAGGAAAATGGACAAGTTTGTAATAAATAGTTAATTCGTGGATAACAAATTTAATTTCAATAGCCTTAATAAAATATGAAATATAGCTCCTTTGAACAAATGGTGGTGCTAGTTGGGCAACAATTTTTTTTCCTAAAATCGCCATATCTCCCCGAACAGGGCGACACTCGGGTTAGACACAGCAAATTGTCATCCTTATTTGAAAGTGACTTTTTTTGCTTAAAGCGAATCATGTGGAATGTTACATGGGAATACAAAGCTCAGTTGATAAAATGCACCTAAAATAATTTGTAGGAATATAACTCAATAGATTATTATTGTTAATACTGGTTCATCGCCACATGCAGTTCATTCAATTTAGTAATTGACAAGGTCGTAAGTCAATGTGAAATCCCCCAACATATCAGAGTAAGAGTGCTAATCTCATTCAGAAAATTCGGATGGGTCTCAATTAAATTAAAAAAAAATGTTTGCACGTTCCGGTCCTTGGTTGAACCACATGATCTACATTTTAAGGTAGACATCGTGGTCCTTGGGAAGAATTTCTATCTTCTCGTAGCTCATTTTTCTTAGTTTCTTTGTCTTTTTCTTAGTTTCTCATAGCAAGTTGGACGACTATTGTTATACAACTAATGTCCATACAAACTATAAGATAGA